AAGACCACTATTATAAGAACTCAAGAAAAGGTTTAAACACAGAAGAAAACATTCTTTGATGGTTACGGGGGTGGGGAGGGAGGGTGAGGGTTATTCACCAACTAGACAGTAGATACGAATGATCTTAGGTGGATAGCACACGCTACAGGGGAAGCCAGCACAACTGGACTAAACCAAAGCTAGGAAGTTTCCTCAATACAATCAAATACTTCGAGAGACAGAGTAGTAGGGATGCAGTGTCTGGGGACCATGCTTTCAGGGGACATTTATGTCAATTGGCATAACAAACCTTATTAAGAAAATGTTCTGCATCCTACTTTGGTGAGTGGCGTCTGGAGTCTTAAAAGCTTGCAAGCAGCCATCTAAGATGCATCAATTGGTCCCAACCACTTGGAGTAAAGGAGAACGAAGAACACCAAAGACACAAGGAAAGTACTGGCCCAAGAGACAGAATGGGCCACATAAACCAGAGACTTCATCAGCCTGAGACCAGACGAACTAGATGGTGCCCGGCTACTACCATGAACGTCCTGACAGGGAACACAACAGAGGGTCCCTGATGGAGCAGTAGAACGATGGGATGCAGAACTCAAATACTAGTAAGAAGACCAGACGTAATGGTCTGACTAAGACTGGAGGCACCTCGGAAAGCATGGCCCCTGGTCTCTCCTTTACCCCAGAACTAAAACAATTTCCAAGGCCAACTCTTCAGACAGGGATTGGACTGGACTGTGGGACATAAAGTGATACTCGTGAAGAATGTGCCTCTTATTAGACAAGTAGATAGAAGAGACCAAAGGGGTGGCTTCTGTCCAGAGGTTAGAGGGGGAAGGCAGAGAGAGTTAGGAGCTGGTTGAATGTTCATGGGGAATCAGGGGCGGAGGGGAGGAGCGTGCTGTCGCAGAATGGGGTGAGCGGATGGGGTCTCAGAACAATGTATGTTTAAAAAAAAAAAAATTCTGTATGGGAGACTAACTTGAAATGTAAACTTCATTTAATTAAATCAATAAATTGTATCTATTCTATATAACTTACTTGTTAACTTATTTATTCCTTTACACTCCTTCCAAACTTTATCCTCTTTATTCATTTGCAGTTGCACGCTCAGCTTTTGATACACTGCTGGTATCGTCTGCAGAAAAACTACTGGTAATTTTCGGACATTACACCATTCACATTTGGTCAGATCAGAGGTATTTAAAGTAATCGCTACAGGATCACTTTCCGGTTCTGGAGGAAAACAAATGCAAATGTAAAAGGAATCAATTCTTAAGAGGGTAAAGTCATGGATGGAGTAAATTGTGAGGAAATGTAAGATTAAAGTTAGACACATATCTATTATGCTCTGTAAACAATAACTCCACTGGAAAATAAGGAAAAATCTTCATAAATGTCTTATATAAGCGGTTCTAAAGAAGTATATATATAAAAAATAGGTTTGTGATATTACAGAATAAGTCTTTTAAATTATACCATTAAGATATATACTCTTCGTTAAGAAAATATATGTAAAGACTACTTATCTTAATGAATTCTATGAATATTATTTACCTTTAATTTATATAAAGTTCGTGAGTGTAAATAAAACTTTAACGATAAAAAGACACAAAATAGCTTACCTTCTAGCTGTATCTTGATAAAATCTAAACAAAACTAAAAAAATAACATACATTAGTACTGGTCACAGAGTTACGAAGGTTTTTCTACACACACCCTAAATGAGATATTATTTGGACTTCAGTCTATGCAGGGCAGAAAAACTGAGCCATCTAGCATGTGTTTAAAGAAAAGATGAGATATTTTCTCAGCTTATAACTCTCAGAAAAGTAGGCTTCTTCTTTTTTTATTTTTTAAAGTACTCATAATATTTCTTATATTATTGTTTCATCTCTTGGTAACTTTTAAATTTTTTTAAATGTCAAAAATTCAGAGAAGTTGACAGAACATTACAACGAACACTTATATACCCCTTGTCTGGATTCATCAACTGTTAATTATCTTGCCACACTCACTCCACCTCTCCCTCTATAAATATACACATTTCTCTTTTGTTAAACCTTCAGAAAGCAGGCAGCAGACATAATGAGATTTCATCCCAAAATCCTTCAGCACACATCTCCCCAGAATAAGGATATCCACTTATACAACCACAGCATTATTACCACATCTAAGGAAATCAAGATTAACTTTGTTCAACATATAGTTCATACTCAAATTCCTCAAATTTGTCCTTTATAGTTTTTTTTTTTTTTAAACCAATCTATGATACTAACAAGGATACATTTACATCTATCCCTTTGGTCTATTTCCGTCTATAGCAGAAACTTGCCTCCCTCTGTTCTTCATGACATGGCCTTTTAAGAATTCAGGATAGGTTTTACAAAATGTACAACATTCTAGACCTTTTCCTCATAAATTAATTCAGGTCATACATTTCCAGCCAAAACAGCACACAGGCGAGGTATACTTCCCACTGCATCACATAAGGAGGTATATCATGTCAGTCTGTCCAACTATTAATGATACAAGCCTAATAATTTGGTTAAGGCAATGACTGCCAGGTCTTCCCGCTGTAAAAACATCTTTTTCCCTTTATAATTAAAGAGTAATCTGTAGAGAGATGTTTGAAATACTGTGACTGTCCCATTCCTAATAACCTTTGCCTCAATGACTTTAGCATCTATTGAAAAGCCTTGCCTGAATCAGTTATTATTGGCAGTTACAAAATGGTGATTTTCTAACTAATTATTTTAATGTGGAGAAGACACATTAAGTCTGATACAACCTCAGTTAATACTCATTTTGTAGGTTTACAGAAGTTAATCAAAAAAGGAGGCAAATACTTTGAAGTGCATTTAAAAAACTAAGATGAATTGCTATACAAGGGATGAATATACACTGCTGTCGACTCTGACTCATGGTGGTAAGATAAAGCATGCATAGTAAAACACTAATGATAGAATCTAGCTGGTATTTGATTATTTACTGTAAAATTCTTTTCAACTCTTCTGTTTGAATCTTTTCATGATATAAAGGAAGCAAGGAAATATAAATGTAGGAATTATTACAATGATGGTAAAGTTGAAGATATCACTAAGAATACCTTTAAAAATTGTGTTTAAAAGTAACACATTAATTGGTTTCACTGTGGAGGTTAAGAATAGGGTACCTGTGCCCTGGAAAAGAGTTTAACGTATATAGAAGCTAGAGTTACAGGCACTAGAAAATTACGTTATATGACTCAAAAAGTGGCATAATAATGACATAAACACTAATCTGGAAGCATATGAATAAAATTGTTACATGAAATGTACGAGTAGAAAGAAGTATGTCTAAATATATTATGTCATCTAAAATTATGTGTGTAATTAAACTAATATATTACTAGCAGACACTGAGATGTGTCACCTACATCTCCAAGTTTCTAAATTTAAGTTGGCTGAAAACTTTTATTTTTATATCTTTTCATTGGAAAAACATGAGAGAGCTTTATTTCTAATAATGTAAGCTACTTTAATATGCCAATTCTATCACTTAAGTGAATTCTCAATAATTAACTTATCCAATAATAAATGACTATGAAATTTGATAAAACATTTAAAATCTGTTTCTCAGATTAATCATTACATGGCAGATAAATTCAAGAAGGAAATGTCAAATCATCTGTTTAATTACATCATCAGAAGAAACTACAGGTCCACTACACTTCAATAAAGAATGTTCTTTGGGAAAACCCCATACTACAACAGATATCAACACTATAGACTGCAAACTTCCACATTATGAGCACAACTATTTTTTAGGATAAAATAATTCACTTAATATTTAAAGAAAAACAAAAGAAATCTGTATCAATACATATTACAGTACACAAACTGCCTTTTATTTCTTCAAATTTACAAAATTGGTTTTATAGTAGATAGAATTGTAGATAGAATGTATAATCTAACCTGTAACTTTTATGAAAAATTTCATTTAAATTTCAATGTTATTCTTGACAGACAGCTTTGTGACTATGCACGCAACTTTTAACTAAATGTCTTAATCACCAGCAAAACCTTAATTATCATATTGAAGAGTTCTGAATATCAGTGCTAATGTGGGGAAATGCCATAAAGTCTAGAGGATAAGCCTGGAAATTTCTGATGTACAAAGTGACATAAGTGACATTTTGTTAACTGACAGAAACCAGGAAAGATAATTTGTACTATTAAGGTTTGTGACAAATGTAAGTTTCAAAGTCCCTGAAAAACCTGACAAGTTTGCTACGTGGCAATAATGGGTAGACAGCTTATATATAATTGGCTTTAACTCTATAGAGTGCTTCTGAAACTGTCTAGTTTTAAATCATAAGAAGGTGACATTTTCATGAAAAAGAAAAAAAATGTGGCTTTCCATAGACCTTTTCCTCTATTAAGAAATCAGGTTCACATGTCTGTCATTTGTTCCTATAAAATAACCTATGAAAACTTTTTTCCCCTTTTGATCATATTATATTCTAGAACCATTAAACTTTACCAGGAACAAACAAAACACCCTTATTATTTATCATAATTTAAATAATAATAAAACTACCTTTTAACTTTCCTGCTATTCTTTGTGTTTTCTTATAGATACCGCTTTATGTATAAAAGATAATACTGGGAGATTCAGTTTGAAAGAAGGGTTGGAAACAGATAGTCAGGGATATCACCTAAGGCATTATAAAATAAAGGCTTAGAGAATCACTGCAGTACTTTAGGAAGATTAACTTAACCAACAATATATAGTATACCATAGAAATAAACAAAATGATGACTAAGAAGGCTGGTTAAGGAAATAAGATTAAAATTTCAGATAGAAAATAAAAGCTTGAATTGGATTGGTGGCAGTAGGAATAATAAGTAGAAAGGTACGAGGGGTTAAGAAAAAGGGACTACAATGAGTTAAAGTTCTTTTGGCATCCTAGACACTGAACTAGTCCCAAAGCAAAATGCCTCCTGGGTAGCCGTTTTAGTCCAATAGTCTATTTCTAAGTTGCTATGAGTTGGAATCAACTCGATGGAAATGGGTTTGGTTTTTGGTTAGGAGGTCTTACTGTTGCAATAAATTTTTCTGCAGATCCCAGAGTTTTTTGGATTCTTCTTTTTCTCACCGCAATTCTTAAAAATACTTATTCATGCACTGAGCTACCATGAGAATAAAACAGTAACATAATGGAGGGTTTCATAACTCAGTGAGAGTAGTATCTTCCTATGACGACTATGGCACTACTGTGATAAACACATTGTGATAAATTTTTATCCACTGATTTTTAACGGTGAGGAGCTCTTACTCATAACTGTCTATATACTCTTCAAGCAATCTGAAATCTTGAAACAATTTTAATATTCTATTAAATAGTTTAACTTATAAATTTTAAATAGTACATATTAGCTTTGCAAAGGAACTTTGAATCTTTAATTGGTACAGTAAAGAGCTTAAGAATATACTTACAATTACAGGCTCTATTAACAGCCGGAAGAGTGTTCCTACTCTTATACTTCGGCAGTTTAAAATGACACTATCAAAGGAACTCTGGCAGCTTAAGGACATAGGATCAACTGAACTTTCTTGAGAAACCACTTTACGACGTTTTAGAGGTGTGCTGATAATAGAATTACCAAACTGAAAAGGAAAAGAAAATTTCCACTTAACAAGGCTGCAAACTAAGTGTACATATGAAAAGACCCCAATATAAGAAACGTAATTATTACATAAGATTCATTTTCCTTCAACAGTGTTAGACGAAGTAAAAACTTAGTTTTATATAATAGTAAACCTATTTTATCTAGTTACACATTTATCTCCAATGAGCATTTTTGCAATTAAGTTCTCGTACATACCCAGAATGACTACCAAACTGCCCACAGCAAAATTATACCAATTTATGCACTTAACGTTCCACTTCTCTGAACACTGAGATGAGGCACTATAATGCTTTTTAAATTTTCAACAACCTGTCAGTGAAAAAAGGTATCACCACTTTAATCTTCACTTCTTTAATTACCACCTTTTGTGAACTTCATTCATTTCTTTACCTATTTTTCTATGGTTTGATTTTACGTCACATATTTTTAGAAATTAAAAATACATAACCCACTTTGTCACAGTTCATTATTTCCCCTTATTTGCATCTACCTATCAAATTTTAAGCTATTTTGATACATGTTCTGTACTTTTTATTTAGTCAAATACATGCATCTCTTCTTTTACTATTTTTGCTTGCGCTTTCATGCTTGGAAAGGCACTCCTCCAAGATTATATAAAAATATTAATGCATAATTTTTCTTTTATCCTTCTTTTTGCTTGTTCTGTTTTTCATTTCTGATGATGCCCATTTTAATAACAAAGTGTGTATATTTCCATAGTTTTAATCTGTATTCCCACAACCCTGACATATATACACATATAATTTTTAACAGACTTTTTTCCAAGGCTTTAATTAAAAAAAATATTACTTTTACAAAAATAAGATAATACACACCTATTTTTACATCTTGGTATTCCCATTCAACAGTACCTTAAAAAAAATTTTAAAGTCATCTGATATAATATTTTATTTACAATGGCTGCATAATAGTCCATGGTATGGCTATCACAATTTATTCAGCCATTTCTGTATTAATTGGCAATCAATTTATTTGCAGTTGTTTGACAATAATCATGTTTGCACATATGGCCTTACATACTGGTGGATTTTTTCCCTTGAGATGAAGTCTAAAGAATGAATTGTTTGATCAAATGGTATACATGTAAAATAACTTTGACAGATGTTGATACATTGGTTTCCTAAGGGCCATAACTTTCTTTTTCATCAAAAAATAGTAAAGTACTCCTCCCCATGTATTCTTGCCAGCAGCATTCTTGTATTAATTTTGTAGGTCTGATATAATTGTAAACCTTATAAAATTTTGGAAGTATATAAATTTATTTCATTGTTTCTTTAATTTGCACTTTCTTACTAATTTGTATTTCTTTTCTTTTGGTTGTTCCCTATCTGAATTTTCTCCTTGTCTATTCCTATTTTTTGTTCGTTTTCTTTTTTTCAACTTTTAAGAGTTTTTAGCCTATTATAAATATTAATGTATTATAAGTCATCTGCATTACAAGTATTTCTCCTTAGGGCTGTTTGTCTACTGACATAACTTATGTTACTGTTTCTCATATGAACATTTTGAAATTTATACATAGTAAACTACAAAACATAGTAAAATGTAACAATATAATAGTAAAATATGTCCAAGTTTCTATGTTAAAATGATTTCTCCCTATTCCTTAAATACAAGAAATCTACATTTTGCTGTAAGGTTGTTAATGTTTCTTCTTATTGAATTGCTTGTACTTTTAAGCTTTTGATTTATTTGACGTTTAGTTTTTGCATATGGTTTAATGAACTTGCACTTAATAAATAATCCATCTTTTTCTCCTACTGACACTACCAAACTGCTCCCCCCAAAAAAAATTTACTTCCCAAAGAGGAGATTTAATCTGAGTAAATGTCAATAAATGTGAAAAGTACCTGGTCTTTCATTCTTGCTTTTCTTGGCAATGTAACTGTGTTTAACTCTGAATCTGCTGGAATGCTTCTTAGTTCATGCTCTACCCTGCAGGTATTTTCATTAAGTGCTGCTTCTACTCTTCCAGTGGATGGTGCTGGGGAAGAACATGCTGAATCAGCAGGTTGAGGAGATACGCTCTCTCTTCTGTTAGTTCTGTCACTATCATCATCATCATCACTGGACAAAATGACTATAAAGAAAATGTTAAATGTTCAGGAGGTATCCATTTCCGTCAGGTTAAAAATGTAAATAAGTCACCAAAGTGGGAAATATACCAAATTTGGTTTGGATTTTTCTCTAGATGTGATATTAATAAAAACAAATGAAGTTACAATCCAGGTAAACTGAAGAAAAGTAAAATTTGGAGAATTAAGAATGAAATCGTAAGATGGCTTTTTTTTTTTTTTTTACAATATACACATATGAAATTAATTTAATATTCCCTTACCACTCAACCACATAGCAACACACAGAAGCTACAAGAATCAAGAATGTTTATCAGTAGGTCTATTTCAGAGTTCTAAAGTCTAAGCTGTGAAAATAATTTGCATACACATTTTCACAGAATAGTATTCATTTTAAATGTGTGTGAAACTCTATGTGACCAGATGGTTTTATCTCACAGGAAATCACTAAAGTCAAAATTGGTCTTCAGGAGAACTTGTATCAATGCCTAATGCTCAATAAATATTTTTGAGTAAATGAATGTAGGCAAGAAGAGGACATCATGAAGGTAATTTGCTCTTACAATTTATACTCATTACTAAACCTTGTTACACCAGTTACCAGTTGCCGTTGAGTTGATTCTGACTCATGGCAACTCCATGAATATCAGAGTAGAACTGTGTTCCATACGGTTTCCAATGGTTGATTTTTCAGAAGTAGATCATCAGGCTTTTCTTCCGAGATGCCTCCTATGTGGACTTGAACCTCCAACCTTTCAGTCAAGGGCATTAACCATTTGTTATCACTCAGGAACTTTGAACTTTGTCATACCCATCTCTAAATATTAATTCCCCAGAGCCGTGACACTGCACTCAAAATCAGTCTAAACTCCTTACTCTGGTTTATAAAACCTACATAATCTGGCCATCATCGATTTTTCCACCTTTCTCATACTATTCTATTTCTCTCCCTCTATGCTCCAGGCCCACTAGCCATTTATTCTGTTCCTAAAACATCATATCCCCAGAGCTTAAAGCAGTGTCTGGAACAGAGCAAGCATTCAAAAATTATGTACTGATGAATGCATAAACTTGTTTCTTTTTTACTATCCCACACATGAATGCTTAGTTAATATCTACTGAGTAATTTACATGTCTCAGAGGAGCATCTTCCCCAGCATCACTGTACATGTCTTTTTATTTATTTTGCTGTCCAGTCTCAGGAATAAACACTAATTCTGAATCTTTTTCAGAACTAGTCTTTTATTTAAAAAAAAACCTAACAGGCCAGATTAGAAGGTCTAGCAGAAATACATACATTTGAATGTTGAGAAAAGGCTTTGCCACTTACTACATATTTGCCTGTTTCTTCTATGTAAAATTAGGAATAATAGTGTTACCTGTATTTCACAGAATTATTGCAAGGATTAAATGATTTAAGTAAAATGTTTAGCACAGTGTCTGACATACATGTAAGTTTTTAATAAAAATTTCAAGAACTTTGTTTATGAAAACACAGAAATATGAATTGAAAGGGAAGCCTAGTGTTCTATAATTCAGTTCTCTGTACTTACGTTCCAAATTTATTCCCGTAGGTACGGGCACATCTTCCCCCTCACTTCATTCTGAGCTCTGTTCAAAGTTATCAGACGTGTCTACTCCATCACCTATCTAAAATAGTACTCTCCTCTCCTCCTGACATCTGTCAACTGTCACTCTTCATTTCCTGGACCAGTTTCACTTTTCTACATGGAATTTATCACTACCTGAGACACTGTGCATTTTACTTACTATACAACTATTCCTACTAAAACAAAAGCTTTATGATCGATAAACTATTTTAATAAGAATACGAATTTAACAATAATTAAGTATATTGAAAACAGACTTAAAAAATTTTTAAATAATATATTTTAACCCAATGTATAAAAAATATTATTTAAACATGTAATCAATATAAAAATTATTAGGTATGTTATTTTTTTTCTGTACTGAGGTCTTCAAAATCCTTTATTTTATACTCACAGCACTTCTTAATTGTGATCAGCCACATTTCAAGTGGTCAGTAACTATGAGCGGTTAATGGCTTTCAAAAAGAAAATAGACTCCGGAATCAGAAAAATATTTTTAAAAGAACCTAACCTCTAATTGTACATTTGTATTGAGCAAGTCACTCAATTCCCTTAAGCCTAAGTTACCTCATTTTCATGTATGAATGTGAAAACTAAATTATAATGTGTTAGTGTATAAACCTTTATCATAAAGCAGGTCACATAAGCATGCAGTAAGTGACATCTTTTATATTACTATGAAATGTTCTTAAACTGGGGTATATATCTTTCCAGATAGTTTAATGAAAAATACTTAGTCTTTAACTTTCTTTTTGAGCAGGAGTGGAAAGTAAATTTGTACTTTATTGGTTTTAGTTTATAATAGATACAGTCCTAGGTTAAGCTCTAAATAGTAAACTGCTTAAGGGACCTCACAACATGAATTTATTTTCACACATCATTATCTTGCCTCAAATATAGTACTAATTTTAATTTTTTACATTATACCCTTACCAACTTCCAGTTCCCCTCATCCTGGAAACTTCTCAGGATCTTAAGATTCCTATATAAAATACAGGCACAATGATAATACCCAGTGACTGCCTAATAAATGAGAATTCTCTAGATATCACCTTTCCATACTAAAACACAAAAATCTTACCACCAGGAAGGATTCAATTTAACATTGCATAGGTATACCACTAAGAAGTATCACAAAATATTTCTCAAATGTCATCAGGATAAACAGAATTTATTAGTATCTTGTTTATCATACAGTAAATTATTTTTTTAACTTAGTTATTTTTTGAAAAATACGTTTATGTGTTGAAAATGAGTTAAGGCTTCTCTACTGAATTCAATTAAAATAGAACTTGATCTATACTTATGAGATTTTAAAAAATTCTTAATTTTTTCCCTTTATTTATCAGCTTTCAGAATAATGATTTGAAATCTTAAAGTAACCTCCAAAGTTAACCACTGGAGAGTTTTTCTTTTCTTTTTTGAGGTGGTATATTATTATGAACTAATTGGTTTTAATATATTTGATATTTCAATCCATAGCAGTTATGGTTCTTTTTTTGACTCACATAGTCCTATTTTTGGCCACTTTAAATTTATTTATTTTATTTTTAGCTCCTGTGTCCTTTTGACATGTCCATAGCAGTCTTTGATTGTTTCCATGCTTCCTGATATGACTAGATGCTCTAGGTTTATCTTATATATTTCATGCTCCAGACTTGGAGTCTGCCTTTCTCTATGGAGCTCTGGTTATTTTTATTGCAAAATGGTATTTAAAAATACAACATGGGAGTTAGGGCTGTTCATTTCTATACTCAGGTTGTTTACTGTTTCTAGGCATTTTCTGTGGGAACAGCTAGGAAATACCTGTTTTATATTTCAGAGAATGTATGTAATGACTTTATACTATTATCTCCAATTCAAATCTAAAGTTAGAGGATTTCTACTTCATTAATTATATTTTTGTATTATTTTTCTCTAACACTGAAAAACTTGATTCCTAATGACAACACTTACTTGTTTTATCAATATGTGTATGTTAAAAAATAACAATACCAACATTGTTAATACTACTGAACACACTTAGGGTTTCTTTGTAGTTCTGCTTGGCCTCAAAATGTATTGTACTAGGTATGTACAGACAAAATATTATTTTAATTTAAATTCATTTGAAATAAATGTGTGTGTTCAAGCCACCAACAAGATATATAATTAGGTTCATTTGTTTCATTTTGTTTTTGGTTTTGTTCTTTTGTTGTCCTGTTTAAAATTCATTTAATTTTGTTTTATAATTATTAAATATTTACATGGTTCCATAGTCAAATCTGCAAAAAGAAGGTATATTCAGAGAAGTCTAGTATCTATTCCTAACACCTACATTCTGTCTCCTCTCCTTCCAGGCAGCTTTTTTTTTTTTTTTTTGTTTTTTAACTATATTCATTCTCTCACCATTCATAAAGACTAGCCATACTATATACTCTGTACTACACCTCATTGTATACACTTAAAGATCCTGGAAATCATTGTATACAGTAGCATCTCAGATCATTTCTCCCTTTTACAAGCACATACGTTATAGTTTTTTCTATCAGTCCTTGACTGTTCCCAATCTTTTGCTATTTATTATAAACAAGGCTGCATTCTGTACACAACTGTGTGCGCCCAAAGACAGGAGTAAGATTTAGGGGAGAAACAAAAGTGGTAAGGGAATTAATCTTCTTTGAGCTCTTTCTACGTGTCAAATGTTTTATTAGGCTATACTAGACACTTTATACTTTATTTTATTTATTACCCTCAAAAACACTATAAGGCAGAAAATACACCCACTTACAGATGAGAAAGGTTAAATTAGCTTGGCCAAAGTCAGAAAACTAGGCATAACTGGGACTTGACCTAAGATTGAGGTCAAAGTCTGTACTTTTTTTTTTTTTTACTATTTAAGATGAACAGAATGAAAACAAAGTCAGTATTTACCAACAACATGAACATCTACCAAAAATGTTGTATCACTGTCACAAGAAGATATTAAACCTATACTTCTCAAATATGTTCATGCTCACGTTAAAAATACATATGAAAAGATACTGTATTGATATCAGAAATACTATAGGAAGTACAATACTTACTTGGATCGTTTAGGTCTGATAGGCTTGTTTTCCTTTCTTTCAAGTGTGTAATTTTGGCTATTTTTGCCCCAGGTAAAATGACTTTCCCATTAGTCTGTAAATAATTCTGTCTACTATCATCACAATTCACAATAATATCAATTGGAACCTTTCCCATACTGCTGCCATAAAACTTTTTGATTGTTAATCCTGTGTTTTGTGACTTCTGTCCTCCAGAATTCTGATGAATTGATGTCCTTAATAATGGTCCAGTGGATTCACTCGAAGTTATACCTTGTCTGCAGTTCCTTTGCAAATCCTTAGAAAAATTAATACCACAACTTTGGCATTTAGTCTGATTTTCTTTTTCTTTTCCACATTTTGGACAATATTCATGCTGTTCAGATACCTTAAGTTCCAAAAGAAACAAGAGACTTTGGTATTTTATCTCAGCATCAAGGAAACAAACAAAAAAGTCTCAAAATTAAGTCCTCCCCCTTCCATCATCACCATGGTTATAAGGAGACCCAGAATAAGTCATGTTACTTGGAATTTAGCATATAAATGCTGGAAGGAATTTTCAAGACAATCTAGTCTAGTATTCAAATTGAACTATGTGTATGTATGAGAATACATGAAGATTTTCCAAGGTGTACGGACATAAATAATTTTAAAGGAATCAGTATCTAGATCCTCAATTTCCATAATCTTTCAAAAAACTGATTTGAGTATGCTTCTGATGTCAAATCCTCTTCTGCCACAATTGTCCTTTTCTCACATTAAAAAAGAAAGTTAAATCTTGTCTTCCATTTGAAATCGTACAATGGTGTATGATCCTGGAGTATAGAAACCTCCAAACTAAACAAAGGGATAATTCTAAATACTGGAAAAAGGAAGTGATTCTGAGGACTAGTTAACAAAAATTTTTTCAAGACATTGATTTCTAAGTCATTTCTTCAAAAAATATTTTAAATAAGGCCTTATCTAAGTTATAGTTGAGAGGTCATCAAGAGTTTTTTTTGATGGTAAAGTACCATGTGATTTTAGGCATATAACTTGGAAGAAGTTCAAAGTACTGAGTTATATTACTTACTATAACAAAACTCTTTCCATTCTCATGAATTTATTTATGAGAACAAAGCTCTTGAGCACTTACATCTCTAAGAAGTGAAAATACAAATAGATACTAAACCCTGTGTCAATATATATTTATTCATGGATATACGAATTGGTAAAAAAAAGTCACTGCCTCTAATTAAAAGATGTACTCTAATAATTTTACCTATTAGAAGATATATTTTTACTTATTTGTAATAATATATAAGCCAACTGCCATCAAACTGACTCTAACTCATGAAGACCTCATGTGTGTCTGAGTAGAACTGTGCTCCATAGGATTTTCAGTGGCTGATTTTTCAGAAGTAGATCACCAGGCCTTTCTTCCAAAGTGCCTCTGGGTGTACTCACACTTCCAACCTTTCAGTTAGTAGCTCATCATACTGTTTACACCATCCAAGCACTCCTAACAATATAGTTTTGATCAACACTGTGCGCCTAAAAAATATGATTTGTATTTTAACTTTGTTTTTAAGGAGCCCTGGTGGCACAACGGTTGAGCACTCAGCTGCTAACCAAAAGGTTGGCTGTTTGAACCCACACAGTGGCCCCTCGGGAGAAAGGTCTGGTGATATGCTTCTGTTAAAAGAAAAAGGATTACAGCCCAGGAAATCCTATAAAGCAGTTCTAATCTATCACATGAGGTTGCTATGAGTTGAAACTGGACTTGACAGCAACTAACAATGACAATAACTAAGATAACTCAACCAAGGAGAAAGTTTTTTGTTAACACTTTTGAGTCTTATAGGAAATAAGTATCTGTTGTAACAATGAAATATGATAGAATGAGCAAGCATAAAGAGATGGTATCAACGGCTATGGTATTTGGACAGCACTAGATCCATATATGAGGAGAGTGATTTAAAAATCCAATATCAAAATATTATACCTTTCACTGTGTCAGATTACATCCTGTGCGACTATTTATTTGAACTTAAGATAAAAAAGGTTGAATGTTGTCATGGATTGAATTGTATCCCCCCAAAAATGTGTGTAGCAACTTGGCTAGGTCATAATTCCTAGTATTGTATGATTGTGTTATGTGATGTGATGTCCTTATGTGTTGTAAACTCTACCACTATGATGAGATTATACGTGATCTCCTCATGTTGTAAATTCTATCACTGTGATAAGGTTATACTGATGAGGTTGACAAGATCAGTGTCTTAATGCAATCTCTTTTGAGATATAAAAGAGAGAAGCGAGCAGAGACATATAGGAACCTCATACCACCAAGAAAGCAGTGATGGGAACAGAGCGCGTCCTTTGGACCTGAGGTTCTTGCGCAGAGAAGCTCCCAGACCAAAGGAAGACTGATGACATGGACTTTCCCCCAGAGCCGATGGAGAAAGCGTTCCCCTGGAGCTGATGCCCTGAATTTGGACTTGTAGCCTACTGGACTGTGAGAGAATAAATTTCTCTTTGTAAAGCCATCCACTTGTGGTATTTCTGTTGAAGCAGCACTAGATGACTAAGACAAATGTCAACTTAAAAATATGTAAGAGAGTACACAGTTGTTTAAAATTCTGTTAGATCTATGGTGACAGAAGTCATCAAGGGATTGTAGGAGGACTGACTGGTGGGTGATAGTTATATATGGTTACAAGGATAGATAAAAATTACAAAATTCATGGAACACTTAAGTTCTGTGCATCTTGTTGTATGTAAACTTATACTTCAAAAATATATAGAAAGTATGTAAGCAAAAAAGTCTAAAGACCGCCGTTCTAGTCTTATCTCCTTGTTTAACAGATGAGAAACTGAGAAAGAAATTGTTTGCTCAACATGACAAAGCCTTTCTATTACGTTATGTTACCTATCCAAGGTTCTACCCTAGATAATGTAGATTATAAAAAAAGAGCACACCTCTTTCTCTGCCAGTACACTGGAGAATTCAGTTATGTTATCTTGTGGAGTCTAAACGTAAGCAATTTTTCCCTTAACACTTCAATAGGGCCCTGTGTATTTAGAATGCATACTTAACACGTAAACTATGTAAACAATTGGTTAGACACAAATATGGAACAGATTATCTCACTCCCCATATTTTCGTCTATTTTCAATATCAGGGAAGGTAATAATGGTATATTTAAATGAAATATAAACAATGCAAATGTGTTACCATGTCCCCATTGCATCTGAAAGGGAAATCCACAGACAAAAAAGTAGTCCCACCTATCTACTACCCTGTGATAAAACAGCCAATCCTCTAAGAAAAATACAAGCCCTACTGGTACACTTAGTTTTCATGATGAGCAAAGACATATTTCAACCTCCAGCTTAAATAAAAGAAAACTGTAGAGTACCCAAATAGGTACAAAGATGTTCATTTCTGTGAGAGATGAAGTCCCATTTCCCACAGTGGGAGTACGCTAAATATAAGCAAACTTTGACTTTAAGAATTTTTAGATATGACCAAACCAGGCAATGATTGGCTCCCTATTTTACTGTGTATAATAAAGATAAATGGGACATATTTAAATAAAAAAAGCAATTACTTCTGGAAAAGAAATACTTAAAGATATTTCCCTATATAAAATTAGTACTGAAGCATGTAGAAAGTATATTCCCTAAGTAAATAAAAAGTTAAAATTCTCAATATTAAAATATGTAAGTAAATATAACCTGAGCTAAACATCAGCTAAAGGAGCCCTACTTGTGTAGTGGTCAAAGCGCTCTACTGGTAATTGAAAGGTCTGCCGTTAGAACCCACTAGCTGCTCCACGGGAGAAAGATGTGGCAGTCTACTTCCATAAAGATTTACGGCCTTGGAAAGAAACCCTACGGGGTAGTTCTACTCTGTCCTACAGAGTTGCTATGAGTCAGAATCAACTCGACGGCAGCGGGTTTGGTTTTGGGATTTGGTCCGTTAGTTAAGAAACACCTACCTTGGAACTGTGTGTAACAATTAGAAACAAAATACAGATCAGCTGAACCAAGTAAGATATTAAATTTTTCATGATAAAAACAAAAAATTAAGAATCTTATCAACCTACCAATCTAAAAACTCGTATCTCAACATGGCTCAGTTACTTTTAGTAATGCAGTACATTTTCATAAGAATTTTTTGTTGCATATAATTTCTTTTGGAAAATAAAGACTGATTAAAGTCTTCGTTTTCCACTTTTGGTCAGTGGAAGGCTTTTACAAAATAAAATAATTAAAAACCACATATGACATACTATCTGCCAGTCTTGATACATAAATAAATAAATAACCAACCACACTTAATAGGAATAATAATCTGCCTTTGATGAGGCACCATTTAGACAATGATATTTTATTAAACATCCTGAGAATATTTAATCTCATTATATAAAATAAGGCTTGTTTTCTTATAAGCAGTAAACAGTCGGGGATTTCACAGACTATATATGAAAAAAAATCATTAACCTTGTTGAAGACAATAAAAAATGACACAGAGGCTGGCTACAAGCTATTCTTTATCTCCACTAAGAAGACTATAAGAACAATTGACATGGGAATAAATAGTAGAAGAAGGAAGATATATTTTCAGCACTAAAAAAAAAATTCTGAAGTTTCCAGCTAGCATCTGAAGCTTTCAGTCAACATGTCCAGTAGAGAAAGGGAGGTATTCTGGGAAAGAGCTTTCCTCTTTCCTCCTTTATCTGGGCCAACAAGTAGAAGGATGCCAGTACGTCTTGGGCCAAACTCAGGCTGATGTGCCAGAAGACCAGTCACATAAAGGGAAACTGAACAAATAAGTAAAATACACTGGCAATGATGGGAGTTAGTTTTTCATGCCAGAGAGGGGAGTTAAAAAATGCACAGTGGTAAAGGCTAAGATAAACACTGCGGTACTAGACTAGAACTGGAGTTGTCAGTGTGAACTCATGGATTTTAATATGTATTAAATATTAATACGTACACACACATATTACTTCCCAGCTCTACCCACTGAGACAACCTAGAAACAATGAGCACTTCGTAGTAATGAGCATAGCTAGTACCCAAATACCTTCCTTCCACTTAAAGGAACAACAGCTCCTCAAAGAAATGCATGTCTCTAGGGCTAGGACAGGAAAATACAAAGTAAGTCTAGAACAACTTCTTGTACCAAAAAGGAAGAAGTGTTGAAAGAACGATAGGGAGATGTCAAAAAGAAACAGGCAACAGTTTGAAGAAACTCCCATGAGCCAAGTCTGGGACAACTTGAGCATAAAAATAGATATGACAGTTACAGACTACAATACTTTCAGTAAAATAAGAATGCTGATATAAATAAATGAATAAATGGGGAAAAAGGGAAAGCTCCACCTTACAGTAGAAGTCTTATTAATCAATGAGTATAAAAACACCTATTAAGAGAACATCTTGTTGTTAGCTGCCATCCAGTCAGTCCCCTAATCATGGCTAATATTACACAGCATGTGCCTCCTGATATGATGCAATGAGATTATAGCATCATTCTTGAAAAACGTATAAATCATGAAGAAACATAAAATCCTATACTCCTTACAAATATCAAGGTTACAAAAGACAAGAGTAGCTTAAAGAACAAATTCCAGATTGAAAAAGACTAAAGATTCATGACAATTAAAGGCAACATGTGATCCCTATACTCACAAAAGACATTATTTAGGTGAAATCAGAATGGAATTTGTGGGTTAAATGGCAATATGGGATCAATAGTTTTTTTCCCAAGTTTGAGAGCTGTACTCTGGTTACATTAAAAACAAACAAACCCGTTGCTGTCAAGTTGATTCCAACTCATAGCGACTCTATAGGACAGAGGAGGACTGCCCCACAGGCTGTTCAGGGGTCGGCTGGGGGATTCAAACTGCAGACCTTTTGATTAGCAGCCAAGCTCTTAACCACTGCGCCACCAGGACTCCTAGTTACACAGGAGAATGTCTTTTTTTTTTTTAAAGGGAACACATACTACATGGGCATCATACCTGCAACTTATACTCAAATGGTGCAGACACACAGACAAACATACACACACACACACACAGGGATGGGTGGGAGGGAGGAAAAAAGGAGAGAGAGGGAGGGAGAGAAGATGGATGATAAAGCAAATGGGGAAAACTGGGGAATCTGGGAAAAGGATATGTAAATAGCCTTTCTATCATTTTTTAAACTTTTCTATAAATTTAAAATTTCAAAAAAATTTCTGGTTGAGAACAATTATTTGGAGTGTGTTTCAGGAAGGCACTAAATTCTTTTCAGAAAAAAAAATATTCTATATTTTGGATAGGTAAAAACAGTGGTATATCTGAAAGCAGAACATTGCCTTAATAATGTCTCTCTAGGTCTCTTCTAGTCCTATGATAAAAGGCCACCCAGAATGCAGTAAGTACTAAAAAAACTAATAAAAATATTGTTTGGCTGGCAATAAAGAGTAATTTCTCTACCTACCTCTAAATTGGTTAAACATTTTTTGGAAGCAGGAGACAGAGAAGACATAGACTGATAAGTACTACAATGACGTTTCTGTTGTACTTTCCTCTTAATTTCAGGCTCCAATTGTGATTCAGACTCTTGTGATTTCTTCATTATACACTCTAAAGGAAAAAGAGAAAAAAGAGTATCAAAATTAAATTTTATAAATTCTTGATTTTAGCTATGAAAAATACTGTTCTATATTTTCAGACATTATGCGGTAAAAATATACATACAAAACATTTGCCAGTTCAACATTTTTTACATGTACAATTCAGTGACATTCATCATGCTGTGCAACATCTGTTTCCAAATTATTTCACCATCATTAATGAAAATTCAGTGTCCCCTAAGATAAGACTCCCCCTCCCTCCCACCTCTAGCAACTACTAATAAATTTTGGTCTCTACGTTATTGTTAGCTGTTGCAGAGTTGGCTCCAACTCATGTTGACCTTATGTATAACAGAACAAAATGTTGCCCAGTCCTGTGCCATCTTTGCGATCGCTGGTATGTTTGAGTTCAATGTTGTGGTTATTGTCTGTCAATCCATCTCACTGAGGGTTTCCCTCGTTTTTGCTGACCCTCTACTTTCCCAAACAGGATGTATTTTGCTAGCAATAGGTTTTTCCTGATGATATGCCCAAAGTAAGGAAGTCGAAGTCTCACAATCCTCTTCTAAGGAACATCCTGGTTGTATTTCTTCTAAGACTGATTTGTTCGTTCTTCTGGTAGTCCACAGAATATTCAAAATTCTTTGCCAACACCACAATCTGAATTCATCAATTCTTCTTTTGTCTTCCTTTTTCACTGTCCAGTTTTCGCATGCATGTGAGGTGACTGAAAAGACCCTGGCTTGGGTCAGGCACATCATACTTGTTACAGTGGCGTCTTTGCTTTTGAAAACTTTAAAGAGGTCTTTTGAGGCAGATTTGTCCAATGTAATACATCACTTAATTTCTTGAATGCTGCTTCACTGACACTGATTGTTGATCCAAACAGAATGAAATAGGTGACAACTTCAATTTTTCCTCCATTTATCAAGATGTTGTTTATCAGTCCAGTTGTGAGAATTTTTGTTTTCTTCACATCAGGCGTAATCCATACTGGCGGCTGTGGCCCTTGACCTTCATCAGTGCGTCAAGTTTTCTTCACTTACTGCAAGCAATGTTGTGCCACCTACACATCTCAGGTTGCTAATGACTTTTCTCGAATCCCAAAGCCATTTTCTTCTTCATATAGTCCAGTTTCATATTAAGTTCTAGAATAGCCAAAATTAATCTATGCTGGGAAAAATCAGAACAATGATTACCTCTGAGGGGGTTAAGGGTGGTGACTAATTGAGAACGGACATGAGGGAACTTATCTGAGGCGATGATACTATTTGTAATATGTCATCACAGGGGATTGGGTTAGGAAGGTACATGCACTTGTCAAAATGTACTGAATTGTACACTTAAGATTTGTGCATCTCACTGTATACAAATTTTATTTAAGATGAAAAAAACTACAAACCAATATTCAAATCTAGTTAATAATATGCTCACTGAAGTGTTTAGAAGTGAAGTGTACTGGTGGCTACAAAGTACTGTTAAAATGTACCCACAAAGTAAGATGAATTCATGTAGTAGATAAAATGATGAGTAGACAAATAAATATGTGATAAAGTATTATAAAATGTTAACTGTAGAATCTATGTGGTAGATATATATGTCTATTTACTATAAGAGTTCAGCTTTTCTGTATGTTTGAAAATTTTCAAAATAGAAGTTTGGGGTAGGGGAAAAAAGAAGGTCCTTAAGTTTCTTATCTGAGAATTTGGTTCTGTGTTATTACTAATATGTTAGAAAATATATACCCAGAGAGTGGTAGAACACAACTATATTTTAGTTATGAATTTGCTTTTGAATTATTTTTATGGTCTTTCAAAAGAGAAAGACAAACTAGAAAAATGGTTAATTTTCTCCATCATGTAGCTGTTATGGTTGATTTTCAACATAAAATAAAACTAAAGTTATGTATCACATCCTCAGTACACCCTCCTTAAAAATCACTTTTGGCTATATACTATACTTTCGTTTGGCATACAGAATTTAGTAAAAGCTCTTTAGCATGACATAAAGACCATTTTACAATCTGGTCACAATCTACTGCTTCAGTTTCATCTCTATCTATCTTCCACCCTATCCTCCAACCAAACAGGTAATTTATTCAAATAGGTCAGACTCTTTCAACCCATGGTGCCTTTGCATTCCATTCTTATTAGCCTCAAACCTTTTTCTCCCTACTTGGTCTGTTAAGCTCCAATAAGTAAAACTCAGCTTTACTCACTTCTTTTGTGAGAACTTAATTCAACCATTCAGAAAGGGTCAATGACCACTCCTTTATGATACCATATTTTACACTTGTGACTATTATATTACAGTACATTCAAACTACACAACATGTTCACAAGTTTGTAGTCTCTCTAGCCCTTGAAGTTCCTGAGAACAGACATTATCAGAGAATAGCAGCACAAGGCAAACTTGAATAAATAAATTGTATCAACTTTAAGGCATATTATGTAAACTTTAAAAATATGTCAAATAAACTAGCGAAAAAAAAAAATTCCAAAAACATGAGCAAAAAATATAGTGGAAATCGACTCACCAAGCTATTCATTAAATATCATATTAGGTATCCCTGAACATTCACACAAATATATTGATGAAAAATAAAGTAAATAAATGAAAGACTGTTGTTAAAACAATTTTTTAATTTATTTCTACAAAACCAAAGAAACGTAACTAAATAAAAATAAACCTAGAAGTATTTTTAGGAAATAAAGGTGAATATTTTTAGAATTCCACAGTAAGAAAAGCTTTTCTAAACACAGTACTAAAGAAGTAAATCTAACTTTAAAAACAGATAGATTTGACCACACTAAAATGAAAATGTACTATCTGACAACCCTAGGAAAGAAAGTAAAATGAAAATCACAAAATGAAAAAGTATCTACACCAGAGAAGGTAAAAGAGTTGTTATTTTCTAACTTATAGAAGCTTTAATAAATAAGTGATAAATAGGCAAAGGACACAATAAATAAACGGGCAGACATGAATACAAGAAATTCAATGGCTACTGAACATATAAGATGCCTCACGAGTAATGAAGACAGTATGGGGAAAAAAAAGAATATTATTTCTTGATCAGATTGGCAAAGTCTAAAAAAATGATACTATTTAATGTTGCTTAACAGTAGGAGAAAACATGCAACTAAATACAGTTTTTTGGGAGATGGCAACATTTATGGAGAGCAATTTGACAGTAATATATTAAAAGTCTTAAAAATGTACATAGTCTTTGTCCTTGCAATTTTATTTCCAGGGGTTTGATCTAAGGAAATAACAGAACAAATACACAAAATATTTGTACTAGTATATTAATCATAATATTTATAATATCAAAACATTGAAAACAACTTAAATTATGGCACATAAACGGCCACAATGCATTCATTAAAAAATGATTAAAGGTACTTAGCTATTAAATTGTAAGAAAGTCTATGATAGACAACTTATCTATATTTTTTGAAAATTTTATTGTGCATTAGGTGAAAGTTTACATGGTAAATTAGTTTCTCATTCAATAAATCATATACAAATTGTTCCATGACACTAGTTGCAATCCTGCAATGTGTCAGCACTCTCCCCATTTCCACCCTGGATTTCCTGTTTCTGTTTGTCTGGTTTCCATGCTCCTTCCTGCCCATTTGATTCTTAAATTTCCTTTGTGTTTTCCATGCTGGCTTTTCCTCTGATATTCTAATATCTTTTAATGAGTACAGAATTAAGATACCATGACTCATAGCAACCATACAGGACAGAATAGAACTGTCCCATAGGGTTTCCAAGGAGTGGCTGGCGGATCTGAACTACCAACCTTTTAGTTAGCAGCTGCGCTCTTAACCACTGTGCCACCAGGGCTCCAGATACTATTATAGCAAAGTCAAAAGCAAGTTACAGAACAATGTATGTTGTAGAAATGTGTTTAAAAAAAAAAAAAGGAGTATTTATGCATAGAAAGAGTCTAGAAATCTACATACCAAAATGCTAATAGCTTTCTCTGAGTGGCTAAGAGTAAGAGAATATTTTTCTTCTTATATTTAAATAAACTAACTTAGTTTAAATGTAAGTTAAATAGGGCTAAATCAGGTGATTAAGTTGTTACATTGGAAAATGTACATTCAGAAACAACATATAAGATATATTAATTCTTTGAGAAGATTATGAAAAACAGGCTGGAAAACAAAAAAGTTTAAGAAACAAAAAAAAAAGAGTATGTAGGAAAAAAGAGATCTTACTATACAGATGTATAGTTGTTATTCTACCTGTTTAGAAAATACAGAAAGAACACTAAACATTTAAAAAAAAAAAGAAAAAAAAAGACGTGGTCTGATAAAAAATTATACTTAATGGCTTACAAGCTTTAATTTTATACTAAAGAGCTGCTTATCAATGCTAATAAGTGTTGATACATAGCTATAACTTATCAAAATTCATATTAAATGCCTCAAATTCAAAATCAAGGGAAAAAATGTAATAATAAAGAAAATCACCTTGGGTGTTAGAAACTGTAGAAAGACAAGTGATTCATTTTTAGGGGAAAATTATTCCAGGTGCTATGCCAGTTAACTACTGATCCTGGGAGTTTGAACTCTGAATGCTTTTCAAACTATCTCTAAAGGAAATTCTAAAACAAAACCCTATCTTCATGCAACAATGTTTGCAATATTATTATAGCATTGTTATTCATTCCATACCCTAGTATATATGATATGCACCTACCTAACACAAAAGAAGCTGAAAAGAAAGCTTACAGTTACGTATACCAATATTCCTCTCCTGAAGTTTAAAAATACTGTCCACATGAACTACACATATGAACCTAGATCCTGCTTCAAAAAACTAGTTTTGAGTCTACAGATGCAAATAACTGAATAAATAGAGAAGAAACAGTTCGTCCTCACAGAAGAATTCTAATTAATGTAAAAGAAATTAATAAGAAATCATCATCAGACAAATACCAGGTAATAATTTTTGCTAAATTTAGAGGCAAAAATTTGAGAAGAAACAGGAATATCTGCATCATCTCCAAGTATCTCTCCCAAGATCTTTATTAATTACGAAGAGAAAAATAGTAATTTTACAGTGGAAAAACCCATCAGATGCTAACTTAACGAAGTGATCATGGCTAACATCACAATTAATAAAACATATCAACATCATGTAACCCCTGATATGATGCACCGAGAGGGTACAGCATCACTTCTGTGGAAGTCTTGCCAAAAATGCATTGCTTTAGTCTAATCGTAATATTAGACTGAGAGTTATTCTATAAAATATCTGATCACTACTCTTCAAAAGTGTCAAGGAACTTAAGGAGACATGACAACTAAATGGAATGTGGGATCCTGGACTGGATCCTGGAACAGAAAACGGACGTTAATGGAAAAACATGAAATTGAACAAGGTCTACAGCTTAGTTAAAAGTATTACACTAACACTAGTTTCTTAATTTTGATGAATGTACTGTGATTAGTCAGATGTTAATATTAGGGAAAGGTGGATAAAGGGTAAACAGGAACTTCCTGTTCTATTTTTGCGCCTTTTCTGTAAGTTTAAAATTATTTCAAAATAAAAAGTTACAAAAACCCCTATTCTTATCTGCTGAATTAATAAATGTTACTGAAAAAGCTTTAAAACTTATTTCTAGTAAGCCTGGCTGACTGGCATCTAAAACTATATGAATGGGACAATTCACTTAATCTTTCTGAAATGCATCTGCAAAACGGGAATGCTGTATAGTACTCTAAGGATTAGAAATAATGTTCTGACCTAGGAAGAAAACAGTAAACAGCACAGTGGTTAAAAGCATGGGCTGTGGCATCAAACAAACTTTGGTACCAATACCAGCTCTTCCATATGCCATGTGTCCTTGAGCAAGTTATGTAATCCGTCTATGCCTCAGTTTCCTCCTCTATACAAAACGTGGATAAGAGCTGAATTTAGCTTATAGGGATCTTGAATAGGAGCTAGGATAAAATTAAATATGAACCAAAGCATTTAACTCAGCATGTAGTAGAGTAAGAATTCAATAAAAATTTAAGGTATAATGGAATGAATACTGAAGAAGGTGTCCACAACTACTAGACTTAATGATAGGGATACATTCAACATATGTACAAAAGATTTTCACCCAAAGTTATTAACAGAAAAAGAATACGGATGCTTCCAACTGAACAAAAACAAAAGCCAAGAAGTTTCCTCAATACAACCAAACACTTCAAGGGACAGAGTAGCAGGGATGGAGGTCTGGGGACCATAGTTTCAGGGGACATCTAGGTCAACTGGCATAACAAAGTTTATTAAGAAAATGTTCTACGCCCCGCTTTGGTCAGTGGCATCTGGGGTCTTAAAAGCTAGCAAGTGGACATCTAAGATTCATCAATTGGTCCCAACCCACCTGGAGCAAAGGAGAATGAAGAACACAAGGAAAACATCAGCTCAAGAGGCAGGAAGGGCCACATAAACCAGAGACTCCATCAACCTGTGACCAGAAGAACTAGATGGTGCCCAGCTACCACAATGATTGCCCTGACAGGGAACACGACAGAGAGAGTCTCTGTTGGAGCAGGAGAAAAGCAGGGTGCAGAACTCAAATTCTAGTGAAAAGACCAGACTTAATGGTCTGACTGAGACTGCAGAGATCCTGAAAGACATGGCCCCCGGACTCTCTGTTAGCCCAAAACCAAAACCATTCCCAAAGCCAACTCTTTGGACAAAGATTAGATTGGGTTATAAGACATAAAATGATACTCGGGAGGAGTGTGGTTCTTAGCTCAAGTAGATACATGAGACTAAATGGGCAGCTTCTGTCCAGAAGTGAGATGAGAAGGCACAAAGGGACAGGAGCTGGCTGAATGGACAAGGGAAATCTGGAGTGGAAAGGAGGAGTGTGCTGTCACATTGTAGGGAGAGTAACTAGGGTCACAACAATGTGTGTATAAATTTTTGTTATGAGAAAACGGACTTAAATTATAAACTTTCACTTAAAGCATAATAAAAAAAAATTTAGAAAAAGAATATGGGTGCTTTAAAACCAAGCTCTTTGCTATCTGGAAACCATAAACTCAAACCCGCTGCCGTCAACTTGATTCTGACTCATAGAGAACCTATAAGGACAGGCTAGACTTGCCCACAGGCTTCCAAGGCTGTAATCTTTACAAAAACACACTGCTACCATCTTTCTCCCACAGAGCAGCTGGAGGGTTTAAACAGCCAACCTTTCACTTAGCAGCTGAGTGCACAACCACTGCACCACCAGGGCTCCTTAAAATCATTAGATTTTGAATAATAAGAGCCTTCAGTACTATTTAATTAGACAAACGCCTGGGACAAACTAGATACACAGACATTGAGAATCACTACTCTAGATGATGAAAATCAATTCGATGGTGAAACATTTTTCATAAATGTTACTAGCCTTTATTTTATTTTTTCATCAATATCACTGTATTAAGAATTACTTAAACGTAATTATAAATACCTACTCACATTGGGTTTCTAACATCTATTATCACAATCGTATCAGGTAAGGTCCTACTACCATGATCATATCAAGTAAGGATTATTCCTTTTTAATTCAGTGGTTCCCTAATGCAGTTTAAATTTTAGAATTAAAACAACTTAAAGAAAAGACAATTAACATAATACAACATTATAATATAGTTAAATAAAACGCAAATTTAAAGCTATAGTCCACTGATAATTAACATTTGGACTTTTAGTATGACAAAAATGCTAATATAATCAAGACATTTCAAATTGGAATAACCTGATCATAAAACTAACTGATCATTTCAGGTCACAATTAAAGAAATTCTCAAATTAGAGGTGGGGGAATAAAAAACGGCTTTCTGCATATTTCTATTATATCTGACAATACTCTAAACCCAACGTTACCTCCCTACCTACACCTTTCATATAACAATTCAAAAACCCTTTACAGGCGTAAAAAGTAAAACTGCACACTTACCAACACTGTGGGGCCGACTTAACCCTACAGGATTAATTTCGATTTTTGGGACATGAGGTGGGTACTCTTTCCTACAAAAGGAAATTTACATAGTTTAATTCTAACAGAAAACATATTTTTCAAAACAAAAAGCAGATGCCATACTTACATTTATTAAAAGCAAATTATGGCTTATTTGCCATGTAAAAAGTGATACAAAATAATAAGACTGAACTACATTTATATATTAAAATTTAATATAAGACCTTCGAAGGCAGTAACTATACTTTAGATTGTCAGTCTATCAGAGCCCAGAGTAAGAAGGTTGCTTAATATTTAGAAAATGAATCCAAATTATTGTTCTTTCAAACTATTCACTTTGGAAAGCTATAGTTATTCTCAAAATGCACAAACCTTTACAATATTTCTTTTGGAATTGCCTTCATAATCAGCATATAAACATTACATTAAAAAGGAACTTATAATATTTCATAGTCACACATCTTATTTTTGAAAAAATTATCCACTTATAATGATACTCAAAATTTGCCAATTTTGCCCTAAATGTTTTTTAATGATTTAAGAAAACACCAATGAATAATGCAGTAAATGCTGAATATGTTATTGGTCTTGACACAATTCCAAAATCAGTCCAATAACTGTTACATATAAAACCAGCATCATAGAACAAGTACTTTTAGTCTTTTAACATGACTGTATTATGGCAGGGGACGTAAACACACTTGTTTAAAAGTATTATTTATTGTCAGATTTCAAATACAGCAGGATTTCCAGGATTTTGAACACAGTTCTCATAAGGGTCCTAAATATTATTTAACTCCAAATATGTACTAATTTGGTGGGGGGGAACCCAAATAAACCTATAGCTAATTACGGGATAAAAGCGTTAAATAAAGAGAACTGCAACAAGTGCAACAAACCAGGAAGCTACAATACTAGATACCTTCCCACTCTAAGTAAAAGCTTCTACAAATATTCCAATTTTATTTGACTAATGATTAAAAAAGGGGAAGAGGCTTTCCACGATTTGGAAATCTATTCACACTAGTAATCAATATCTATTCATTACAGAGTAACGTGAGGATTAATCAAAATCCTAAAAGAATCTTCTTGTAAGGGTTTCTCTTACTCTGTAAAAGTCAAAGCACTTAACAAAATGTAAACAGCAGTAGTGATAGCACTGTAGTTATAATAGCAGTTTGCAATTATTAAGTGCCATGTGCCAGGTACTGTTCTAAGGGCTTTGTATCTGTTAAATCCTTTATATCTAAGTGCTTTATATCATTAAATCCTCACAATAATCTTATGATGTATATACTAGTATTAGCATTTTAAGATGAGAAAACTGAGGCACAAAGAGGTTAATTAACTTGGTCATGGTTGTACAACTATTCAATGGCACTGCCAGAATCCGAACCCAGGCAAACTGGATCAGTACCAACTTCCACCTTGGCAGAATTTTAAGATTTGTGAAGATGAGAAATTCTCTTAATGTAGTAGTGCTACGAAGGTAATAGATTTTCAGCTCCTAATTATGCTATATCAGGCTTAACATAAAATGTATGTTTTTGTATATCATACATTTTCATATTCAGAATATAATATTATCTTTAAATCAAATAACTATAATCTCTAATTTTTATAATTTGACACTTAAAGACACTAACTTTAAAATGCAACACAGGCAATAACAATCTGAAGAGAAATATGATACTGCTATGGTAAACTCTAGTAACTCTCAGTGTAGTGTATATTTTTTAAATAGTGGCAGACATAAACATAAGTATTTTTAAATGATACTAAAAATTATCAGTAAGAAAAATATTTGACAGTTATAGTGTGGTCACAAAATCTGGAAATAAAAATATTTAATGTTTTTTTTACAGTTTGAACCTGCTTAACTATTTCTCTAGGGTATGCTAAAGGTATAGGTTTATTCAGTAAAAAAACTGGCATAAATCATCTGATGCATGTGCAAGGACTGATGAAAATGCTGCATTAATGCAGTGTTCTTTGCAATTTGACATAGTGCACTGAACCAAACACTGCTTAAACTATTATGAATATTTGCCTACATTTCCAAATGTTATGGTTACTCTGTATTCAATATTCGTTAAGTGTTTCTCTATACAAATAGGGCAAATAAAGTTTTGTTTTCCAACAGAAGAAGGGGACACTGCATGGCTTAAAGTCAGGAAAGGTGTGCGTCAGGGCAGTATTCTTTCGGCATACTTATTAAATCGTATGCTGGGCAAATAATCTGAGAAACTGGACTATATGAAGAAGAGTGTGGCATCAGGATTGACGGAAAACTCATCAACGACCAGCGTTATGCAAATGACACAACCTTACTTGCTGAAAGTGAAGAGGACTTGAAGCACTTACTGATGAAGGTCAAAGACTACAGCCTTCAGTATGGATTACACCTCAACATAAAGAAAACAAAAATCCTCACAACTGGACCAATAAGCAGTATCATGATACACAGAGAAAATACTGAAGTTGCCAAGAATTTCATTTTACTTGGATCCACAACCAATGCCCATGGAAACAGCAGTAAAGAAATCAAAGGACGCATTGCATTGAGCAAATCTGCTGTGAAAGACCTCTTTAAAGTGTTAAAAAGCAAATGTCACTTCGAGGACAAAGGTGCTCCTGACCCAAGCCATGATATTCTCAATTGCCTCATATGCATATGAATGCTGGACAACGAACATGGAAGACCAAAGAGTTGACGCCTTTGAATTATGGTGATGGTGAAGAATAATGAATATACCACTGACTGCCAGAAGAACGGGAGCCCTGGTAGCACAGTGGCTGAAAGTTTGGCGGCTAACCAAAAGGCTGGCACTTTGAGTCCACCAGCTGCTCCTTGGAAACCTACTCTGTCTAATAGGGTTGCTATGAGTCAGAACTGACTCAACAGTAATGGGTTTTGACAGGCCAGAACAGCGAACAAATCTGTCTTGGATCGGTACAGCCAGAATGCACCTTAGAAGCAAGGATGGTGAGACTTCATCTCACGTACTTTGGACATGTTATCAGAAGGGACCAGTCCCTGGAGAAGGGCATCATGCTTGGTAGAGGATCAGTAAAAAAGAAGAAGATATTCAATGAGATAGACTGATATTGTGGCTGCAACAATGGGCTCAACCGTAACGACGAATGTGAGGATGGCGCAGGACGGGGTAGTGTTTCATTCTGTTGTACACAGGGTCACTATGAGTGAAAACTGACTTGATGACACCTGACAAGTCTGTTTTTAAATTTTTATTATAATGAATAAACTGCAAAAATAAAAGCATACTTTATTTAATACAAGAATAATAAATTTCAGGATTAAAGTAGTATTGGTTTGATAAGGGAAGTAAAAGAATCCTACAGCCGTAACTATTATTTTTAAAAATTTTGTTAGGTAATCTAAAATCAATTTTTATATTAATTTTGTGCTTGAGGGTCCCATTACTATATACTAAAATTTCAAACTCCAAACTGGAATGAAGCTCAAGCCTAGGGTTTAATTTTTTAGTGGGTATCCCTCACTCCCCTCCCCAAACAAAGCAGAGGCAAAGAAGCTTCCCTTGCCATCTGTCATCTTTCTCTGCAGGTGGCTGATTTTTTTCCTTCTGAGGGCTTGTGTTTTGTGTAGAAGTTTTAGAAAAAACTCCATAGGCCTAAGCAGGGTTCCTGGGACTGATATTCTTCCACCAATCCTGCCTCCCTTTGAATCCACATAGATTGCAGCTATTGGTCACAGCATTGCTCATGTGCTCACCAACCATTTTGAGTTTCTTTTCTGGCCACCAGGGCCTTCTCTTTTCTTCCTTCCTTCCTTTTCAAGCTCACCATATACTTCAAAGAACTTTTGTTTCCTCATACAGATTTCCAAATGTTTGTAATGAGATGATTTTCAGGTTCTTAATAACTATCTCACTGAACTCAGAAGACTCAGACTAATCACCTTTTCTACATATATGCTTACTGAAATAAAACCTTAAAGTGAAATGTTAAACCTTTGCAAAAATAAAACAGGGAAGGACACTCGGCTATTTGTGTTGCTTTATGACAGATGCCCATTTCTATGATTTTTTTTTTTTTAACACTTAATATATAAGGGGCTTTAAATTTTTCCCAACATTTGCTACCTGTACAACTCAGTGACACTCATTACATTCTTCATGTTGTGAAATCATTCTCCCCTTTTCCAAATTATTCCACCACCATTAATATAAACTCAATGGTCCTAAGCAAAAACTCTCTTTTCTTCTCCCTCCCACCCCTGAACTACTAATAATCTTTAGTTTTTATGTATTTGTTAATCTCATATAAATGAGATCATACAGTATTTGTCATTTTGCAAGTGAATTATTTCACTCAGTAAACATTTTCAAGGTTCATTTGTGTTGTGGCATGCCTGAGGACTTCCTCTTTCTGGCTGAGTAATATTCCATTGTGTGTTATATATCACATTTTGTTTATCCATTTATCTGTTGATGGACATTTAGGTACTTTCCACCTTTTCACTATTGTGAATAGTGCTGCAACAAACACTAGTGTACAGGTTTCTGTTTGTGTGTCTGCTTTCACTTTATCTGGGTATATATCTACGATTGGGATTGGTGGGCCATATGGTAGTTCTATGTCCAACTTTTTGAGGAACTGCCAAACTGTTTTCAACAGCAGCTGTACCATTTTACATTCCCACAAGCAATGGATGAGGGTTCCAGTTTCTCCACAACTTTGCCAACACCTATTTTTTTTTTCCTATCATTGCCATTCTGATAGGGGTGAGGTGATATCTCACTGTGATTTTGATCTGCATCTCCCTGATGGCTAACCGAAAGGTTGGCAGTTCAAATCCACCCAGTGGCTCTGTGAGAGAAACAACCTGGCAATCTGCCCCCACAGAATACAGCCTAGGAATCCCTACGGGGCAGTTCTACTCTGTCATATAGGGTCACTATAAGTTGGAATTGACTCAGTGGCACACAACAACGATGGTGAGCATCTTTTCACGTGCTTGTTGGCAATCTGAATATCCTCTTTGGTGAAACGTCTGTTCAAGTTCTTT